TCTAAAGAACTTAAAGTCATTTCTGAATGTATTGTATAAATCGCTTACTAACTAATATTCAAATGATCATGTCCAGCCACTTGCCATGTATATATTTGTTTACCTATGTATTTATATATTCTCATGTACCACCGTTGGTTGGTTGAGAAATAAACTTCTCTGTCTGTCTCTCTGTCTGTCAATTATGTTTGTGTACATCGTAATACTTTCATTTATAAATTCATCGTTATTTCGTATTTGGTTTTGTTGTTTCCCCAGCTGTGACAGGCCAGACACGATCATTAAGTATCATGCTACACCTTAACAACAGACTGACATATTATAATGACATACATGTTTTCTGTTATGGGTTTTGCTTAAATGAAGTAATCAGAAAAAACGATTTTACGTTGCATTTTAGTTCATCACAATTTACCTCCCTTATATTGTGTCTCGATAGTTTTCAACGTAAATAGCGCGACCACTGATAAGTTCCCCATTGAACAATTTGAAATCGCCGATATATTATTGTACACCTAGCATATATTCGGCTTACTATGTATATGTTTATCTGTACGGGACTTTTTCAAGACTGAATTCCTTGCATGATAGACTCGTGGATGCATAACATATATATGGCTTTAAAATATCTATTTATAGTATGTACGTCACGGGGTTTCACGCATGGCGATACGTTTATTGAACGTATGACAATAATGCTGATCTTTCACATCCGTAAGATAAACGTATGTATCAGGAAGACGAATATGATAAATTATGAACGTAAATGTGTAACGTGTGAGTGGTAGGATGAGAGTGGGAGAAATGAAGTGTTTGGTCGAGTACTTGTTGTCGCGTTTGTGTACTTGTTAGTAGGTTTTTGTATGCATCGTAACAATTTAGTTTATAAATTCATTGTTAATTCGTATATTGCTTTGCTGTTACCCCATCCTGTGAGAGACCAGACTTTACTATAGTCTGTTTGCGGTGAAAACGTACCGATGAATTTCACTTTAAACAAAAAAGTAAATCAAATAAAGTGAAATTAAGATTGCGAATCCTCATCATTTTACCTTGCCATTTGAAAATTTAAATCTCAGAATGTTATTCAACTTGGGATGAAAGTTGTTTAACAAACGATCATAGTTTCAAATCGGTATTATTGGTTTGTATTACAAGGGGGTATGCACATAAAATGAAACACCGAGATCAAGTAGGGTTGGTCTAAGTTAACGCTCATCAAGTACCACACGTTCATTTGTTTCAGTGTTCCAACTACTGCGCTTACCCCCTTGTAATACAAACCAATATAAGCGATTTGAAACTATGATCGTTTGTTAAATTTTTTTTTTTCATAAGTTGAATAAAAATCTAAGAATTTAAATGTTCAATTGGCAAGGTAGAATTATGAGGATTCGCAATCTTAATTTCACTTTATTTACATTTTTGTTTAAAGTGCAATTCACCTGTACGTTTTCACTGCAAACAGACTATACATCGATCCCCGCAAATGAGATACTATGACATGCAGTCAGCCAGCTCACCGAGACATTTAGTTGCCTCTACTGTAATGACAAGCAACGGATGCTGGGGACTAACTCACAATCTCCATGGGGTAAATATGAGGGCTATATCTGGATGGAGAACCTGTGTCGACCGTCATTCGGCGTTCAGTACCATTGGAGTGAGTGAGTTTAGTTTTACACCGCTTTTAGCAATATTCCAGCAATATCACAGCGGGGGGACAACAGAAATGGGCTTCCCTCATTGTGCCCATGTGGAGAATCGAACCCGGATCTTCGGCGTGACGAGCTAACGCTTTAACCACTAGGCTATCCTACCGCCCTCAGTACCATTGGAACTTGTGTAATCAGGACATGGAGTGTCTAAACTGTTGAAAGTATTTCCAGGCGGGCAAGTAACCAAGGAAGTGTTGAACTTTTTTATGTATGGTGAAATAAAATTTGGAGTGTAGAAACTTTTGAACGCATTGCCACATGGTCAAATAAGACAAAGGCAATTAAAACTGTTGAAAGTATATTGACATGGTGAAATAACCAAGTATTGAAGCTGTTGAAAGTATTTCCACACAGTCAAATAATCAAAAGAGTGTTGAAACTGTTGAACGAATTTCCACATGATCAAGTAACCAAAATGAGTGTTTATACAAGTTGAACATTTCATTTCCAATGATGAAACAACAAAAACGACGAAGACATCAACACAATTGTTTTATTTCTGCTAAACTTAAAAAGAATCAAGCTGTTCAATACATTTGGCAACAAAAACAATAACAATAGATTGTGCCAGCCCGGTATAAAATGAGAGACACATGTGTACCGACAGATGTACCACATGTACCATCATGTACCAACGTCATACAACAACGACAGAGAGCCTCAGCATCCTCAGCAAGCGGCTACATGAAAGCTAGACAGGATGCACATCATACAAAAGCATACCACGTTGGATAAATATCACTAATTTCACAGTAAAATTCGTAAGGAGTCGTCCATGTGATGTTCAGGGGAGCCCCCTGTAAAAAAATATTCCGAAAATACTGGAACAAAACAATTGTCCTTAAGTTTAACATTTTGTTAAATGGACCTGCTTTATATCCTCGAAAGAACAAAACCTGTGGACTTTTGGGTTCATTTTTTCGTGGAAAACATATTATCTTTACAACAAATGGCGGTATGCGTTTTCCAGACAATTATCCCATGTCCTCCTCCAACAATATTTAATCATTGGTCCCTTATGTACATAGTTGTTGATGAATGAGATGGTTATTTACACGACCTCTGAAACACTAAGAAACGCAAAGGATGTTTACATGAATCAATAAGATTTCATTTATGCTACAACCAGCGTCTGGTGGGACCAACAACAGGTTCCAACGGGTCCAATGAGCGCAACATTTCAGTACAAGAAACTGCCTAAAGATATGAAAATGGTTAATGTCAACGATGAAGCTGGAATTGGACGTATTTTCTATTTTCATCAATATTTAATGTCATTTCGTGTCTTTAGTGTTTCAGTAAAGTAAGACAACTATCAATAAATGTGCTATATTGTTTTCATGTTTTTGATGACAAAGCTCGTATTTACGTGTACACGTTTCCATATAGCACCATCGTAATGACAGATTTTGATTTCTGAAAATAACAATGCAGACATTTTGCTGTATATACATAAATGTTACCATGTTTCTTGTAGCTGAGTCTACAACATGTATATACCCATGTTATATGTATGTAAGGAATGTCCACGTGTATTGCATGTACAGAACCACTTGTTTAAAAAGGTATGATTATATACAAGAAAAATAAAGTATTTTTCACAAAAATAGCAACGTTTACAGTAAACGACGTTTATAACCAGCCTGCCTATCTCGAACTGATGGATATAAAGGACTGTGTTTTTTGTCTCAGCCATTGTTTGTATATTCTATATACAACGCACTACGGTTGTACCGAACTGAAATTAGTGGTCCCTTTGTGTTCGTTATAACGGTAGTTTACTCTGTAATATGACACCGTGGGGTGCTGCTTGCAGCGGACCACATTACTGAATTTGGATATAGAACATTCATGTGGATATAGAAACAGAGGAATAACATTCATATACATATACATATGCATTTATGAGTGAGTGAGTGAGTTTACTTTTACGCCGCACTCAATATGCATTTATGTACAGTGATACCTCGCTAAGTCGAATTTAATTATCTCGATATATCGTTTAAGACGAAATGCAACGATCACTCATAACTGACACCGCAGGGTTCTATATACACGTATAGAACTGTTGATGCCTCGATATATTTCCAAATATTCGAGTTAACGAGGTTTCACTTTTCGAATAAATATATTGAGAATGATGACGATTATTTCATTAGTCGACACATAGGATGTGAATAGAGTTGTGAGTGATCTCGGATTACCTCACATCCAGCATGTTCATAACACAATGTCACGGTACACATCAATCAAATTCATGTCAGCTGGTTTTATGTAAATTATATATAAATAATAATCATACAATGTACATATTTTTCATATAAATATAAATATATTACATCACAGACATCGATAACGAACAGACAATGAGCGAATACATAAATGATATCATTTTCATGTGATATCATTTTGACATCCAATATTTGCATGCCTGGAACTATGATACAAGTATGTTTTTCTTGAAATAATACACCTATTGCCAATTACTAAAGCTGCATGTTTTAAGTCACATAAATATGTTTTCAAACTTCTCCAACGGTTACGTAATCGCTAGTTGATATGTATATTTCTACTACCTTTATCAAATAATAAAAAATGTAGACAAGCATGTCTATCCGTTAAAAAGACGTATACAGTCATTGCAGATTGATACTAAAGCTCATTTCCTATTGCTGCAAATATAAAAACAAGTTTGGTAAGACAAAATATATGTGTCTTCCATGATTGTGATTTTTGTTATTTAAACTGTCTTCAATATAACATCTATTATAATCGGGACTAATTTCCAATGACGTATGTAGACACAAGAAACGCAAACATCACAGTCACCTAAGCATGGTGTTGTAAACACACAGCCAGGCCAAAGAAACGACGAAGCAGTCAAAAATAGCTTTCAGAAGAGTCAAGAAGTTAGAATCCTTTAATTCACTCCAGCGGATGTCCTCAAGGGACCACCAGTGGCCTCAAGCCGGTATAATCCCAAGATGATGGGAACATGGACCGTTAATCCTTAGTCTTCCCTTCAAGCTTCCATAGTAATTAAGATCAACCACTGTTCTTGGAGATCAAATGAAACTATAAATAACATCTAAATGTTCTTAGGCTATTTCAGTTTGAAGAACGACAGTGTGATCTTATACAGTTTATTGATGTTATATCAGTTGTGAATGGGAAAAAATAGTTAATTATACTGTAAGTATCGGCTCTTACATCAGACATTCATCTTGCACGGCCCATATTTGGCCCAAAGTCTGCAGCAAATGTCATTAGACATTTCCAATTTATGTGTATATGTAACAATTAGCTACTTTGGGGACTTTGTAGAAATAATAGGTATTTCAGTGATAACACCGAATAACTAGGTCAAGCTTATACTTTTGAACTGAATAAGTCTCAAATGCAATGGTAAACTAGGCCTACCTTTGAATTTAAACAATATTAAATGCAAAAAACCCCAGGTGTGAACAAAGTGATGATTTCCCCCTAATATTCCTGTCAGGGTCACTATGTTTAGAATCTTTCATAAATCACAACATTTTACAAAGGTAGGATTTATGTAAATCATATCTCTTTAAATTAGTACTGACTAAAACACATAATTTCGGAGTGAGTGTGTGATTTGTGTTAAACGTCGTTTTGAAGAGATTTCATTTCTATGACGGTGTGTAGGTCCAATGTGGAGGGAAAACCTAAAGTGATGCAGTTCCGACGTTTACCATTTTGGTGCCAACCAAAAGTTTACAGATCGCAATATATCATGACGTAGTTGACACAAACGGTACATTCAAAATGCACGAAACGTCAATTCTTTGCAAACATTTAATGGCATTATATACAAATCTAAACTCATTTGATAATAGTATGGAGTATGCTTGTTTTGTAGCAACCAATTTCACAAATAAAGTTTGCCATGGTGCTGTATGTACTACTGAAGCCTGGTTGGTTTCAAGGTCAGACAGCAATTCCCAACATTCTATGGCACGAGGGCCATTTGCAATCGTAACAAATACGTCACAACCAGTCATGGTGTTACATGCAACAACGGATACACATTACATACAAATAGTACAGAATATGGAATGTTCATAGTTGCGGAAGTCCGTTTTCTGAAATGTTTAACCATAATACATGTATTCAATATATGGTTTCCAGGAGTGTATTGATACAAAGCAGTACAAAATACATGTTCTGGTTACTGTATTGATGCCATAAAGACATCAATGGGCTACACATATTCACAAGAAATATTGATGACACACCACATCTCGACTCTTCTCCACGCCATATGACAAAGGATATCACGGAGCCAAAAACAGTCTTCCCTTGTTTGGTAAGAACACAGACATGACACTTATTCCAAAACTCATCGTTTACATTGTGTTTCTTTCATGATATCTGGTTCAGTCTTTTCTTATAGTTCTCTGCTTGGTGGTGTATGTGATTGTTACTTATGAACCTGTTCTATTGTTTGGTAATTTTGAAAAATTACAGCTCCTTGAGAAATTACATCCAGAGTATTTGAGAGATCAGTGGGGATATGGTGTAAGCTTGCAATGGTACAAACACGATTTTGTAGGGCAGTTATTCATAATACAATTGAGAAGATCGCAATGTTCCCGCTTAAAATAGCTTTCAATTATAAAATTATTAATAACATATCAACACTTAGCTATTTTTCAAATTGGTTACTTAGAGAAAAATACATAAACTTCACTGCTATATATTCTTCGTTTAATAAATAAGGAAAGACTACATATGCACTATGATATCAAATAGATTTTTACTTGTCAGTTGAAGTTAATGGATGTACATTCTATATGAATAAAAACATCTATGATGAAATGATTGGTGTCTTTTGCATCTTTCCATTCCTTGCACTTGAATCCTCAAATCCTAAAAGCGAAAAAAGCATAAATAAATGTGGGCTGTTTTGTTCACGTGTATCAAGAAGTTATGAAGCGAAAACCTCAATTACGCAAGCATTCCAAAAAAAGCAATACTAAAATCAATCTACGCCAATGATTCTGTCGACTCTGTGATGTCTGGTGGGTCCTGAGTTATAGGCACCGCTGTTTCTAAGTGTTCTGGTTCCGTGGAAGCCTCCTCGTCTCGACTTTTAGAGTCACATGCCACCAACACGAGGCCCAAGAATCCAATGAGATGGAGCGCCATTGCAATGTACAGCGACGTCATCAGGTTGTTCAGCGTTAGGGACACGATGAAGCTGAGCTCCAGGCCAATCCCGTTACACACACGGAGAGCAATTAATGCCGTTTCCTTGAGTTTGGGTGTGTACTTCGGAATAGCCACTGGAATGAAAGGAAACAGGTGAAATCAATAAATTATTTGTTTTTTTAGGATCTGTTCACGATTTGGTAACGGATCTCGAGTGGAGAGCAACATTCTCTGAATTAAGATAAAACGAGATTCAGTTATGTAAATTAAAGATGTGTGCTTCTTGAATTGATACTGCGTTTTTGTGTCTGTTTTATATCAAACTAAAAGTGGAATCAATATTAATCCTCGTAACGAGCTTTTTTTACCCTAAAAGAGACACAGATGGCTTCTAAATTCAGTTTAACCCAACAAATGAAAAGAATTTCATTAAAGGAAATAACTCAACTTTTGGTTTGTTTTGTCCTTGCTTTGAAACTGATTTTGAGTATCACAAAATCAGCGAATCAAATCAAGGCAAGCATGTGGCGATGGAATGTAACGGTTTTCGACCTCGAATCACGAACAGCAATCTGCACGTGAGACAGTTGCTATATCGAAGCATGGATCATAGGAAAAAAGGTCCCCCTCCATTTAGGAAAGCATGAATCACTCGGGAAAATCACTTAGAGTCAGGAAAGTCTGGATTAGAGGGGACAAGGTACCTCGAATATGCAAAGCATGGGTCAGTGGAGACACTGTCTACCTCAAAAAGGGAAAGTATCGGTCATTGGGTACAAGGTCTATTTCGAATATGAAATGCATGGGCCTACCTGGAACAAGGCCTACCTTGAATAAATAAAGCATACGTCAAAATAGACTAAATCTATGGAAAAAGATTAACTGCTCGGGAAAAAGTCTTCCCCAAATAGATCCACCACGAATATGGAATGCATGGGTCACTCCGGGCAAGATCCACCTCGAATATGGAATGCATGGGTCACTCAGGACAAGGTCTACTTCGAATATGGAATGCATGGGTCACTCCGGGCAAGGTCTACTTCGAATATGGAATGCATGGGTCACTCGGGACAAGGTCCACCTCGAATATGGAATGCATGGGTCACTCCGGGCAAGATCCACCTCGAATATGGAATGCATGGGTCACTCCGGGCAAGATCCACCTCGAATATGGAATGCATGGGTCACTCGGGACAAGGTCTACTTCGAATGTGGAATGCATGGGTCACTCCGGGCAAGATCCACCTCGAATATGGAATGCATGGGTCACTCGGGACAAGGTCTACTTCGAATGTGGAAAGTATTTACCCCAAATGAGGAAAGCATGGGCCTCTGAAGACAAGGCCTACCTTCAGTAAGAAAAGCATAGGTAACAAGAGACTTCCTCGCATCGGCAAAATCTCAAGGTATTGGAGACTAGATCTATCTCGTATTAGGCAACGCGAAGGATACTGGGTACTCATCCCACCTCATATCACTTACATGATTGGTTAACTTGAAGTACTTCAAAGACCTTGTCACGGGAGACCAGGTATTAAGCCAAATGTTCGCAGAAAATAATAAATGACTTACAACATGACTATGGACGTAAATAGACTGTAATTAAATGTATTCCTCCTCATTTTAACATGAATACCGGTATATGAAAGCTTGGATTTAGATATGAAAAAAGCTGGAGGAAACACAAAGGACGAAATGTCATTGGTGTTTTTTGCGAGCAATGAGTTGTATTCGAGAGAGATTGCTTCAAATGTCCTCTCTTCAGATGCAATTATGGAAGGGCAGATGCCAGAAAAACAACAACTTAGGTCTTTGTGATGAGATTAGATCATTCTAAACCATAGAAATGCTTGAATAAAGTGACATCGCACGTCAATTCAACGTCGACGGGATCTCCTTACGTCGCTTACCACGACGTCAACAACGATACAATTACTTTCGAGACCGTTATAGTAATACCTGTCGCTCACGATAACCTTTCGCCAAGTGATATAACATTGTGTGTACTTAGATCGAGCTGGTCTCCGCACATAGGGTGTACGCTCAAACATTTAACTCCTGCCAAAGGAGCAGCTGAGCTCCATTGGGAGTATACGACCTAAGCTGCATTGAGGCGTTAGTGCGAGCTGATATGGTATGGCTATCTCAGCCTACCGGGTACCCATTTGTACTGTTTGGTGAAAAGAGGCATCCAGAAAAAACACTGCAGGTGTAACATGCTACGTTTGTCTGAACTAGAACCTCTAAACACCCAAACACCATCCTCCATAATCAACGTTTCTTACGTATGCACGTCGCATACAGGACCACATGCGACCACATATGGATTCGAATTAAGCATCTGCACATAGGCGCACATCGGCAGAACATCAACGTCTTTTGCGGTGTGGACAACACTTGCGGTGGACCGGAAGTCAATGGAGAAGGCTCTCAACACAGGTGATTCACGTCCCTGTCTTAAATACAGTCCATATCGTGTGTTCCTCACCTTAATACTGCGGTAATATTGCTAAAAGCAACGAAATCCATACCCCCTCAATCTTAATGTTGTTTCCTTCGCATAGCTCCAATAGTGGCTCCAATGAGAGGAAGGTGCTGCATCATTAATCCACAGATGGACACACTCGCCACAGAGGGCGTGAATATTCCCCCTTATGTAAGAGTACTCATTGTGTGTGAGCCTATGTGTGTATGCCACTGAATACCATTCCACAGTGTAACAGACCCGTGTAGATCCGGGTTAGAATTGGTCTCCATGCTTGTTGTAAGAGGCAACTAACGGGATCGGGTGGTCAGGCTCGCTGAATTGGTTGACACATGTCATGCTGTTGATCACTGGATTGTCTGGTCCAGACTTGAATATTGTACAGACCGACATCAAATAGTTGGAATATTGTGGTGTTAAACAACAAACAAACAGTTTTATAAGCACGCGACACTCAACTGCAGTATTCCATATCCAAGACGACTCTTGTTCTATTGGTTGAATTGGAGAGAGAGATGGGGTAGCCTAGCGGTCAAATCGTTCACTCGACAGGCAGAATGTGTGAAGCCTATTTCTGGTGTCCCTCGCCGTGATATTACTGGAATATTCCAAAAAGCGGCGTAAAACTAAACTCACTCACTCACTCACTCACCATTGGCTAAATGGTTATAGGTAAGGTTAAAACAGGTTTCTTGTTTAGTATGATGCGTCCAGGGATCGAACCACGGAATTTCTGTTCTCTGACCAAACAACAGAGACAGAACATACAACACATGCATATAACACGAACTGCACCATGTAGTTTGGTCAGGTCTTAAATGTTTCTAAAAAAATCAGTAAAACTCATTATCAGTTGGCACCACTAATGCTATTAGTTGGGAAGTCCGTTTTACCAATTGAGGTCGTTGTCGAGACGTTCTAATCAAACTCACGTTGCAGTTGAGACTGTATAATCCCATCACCGGCTCCCCACATCGCCAGATACATCAATAACGCTGTTGACTGAGATGAAGTAGGTCGCCACACAAACGCTGTGATGAGAATACTTGTGTTCAAGATGAAACCTGAAAAATAGGAACATTTCAGTGAAAGAGTCGAAGAGTGTATACAATCAGGGGCAACCAGTAATCCAATGAAAATACCCCGTGACTGTAAATAAACTGCCGGGAAAAGACAGTATACGCTGGAAAAATGGATTTTGTTAAAAAAAGGTTAAGAAAATGTTACATGGTTGAAAACACTAGCCAAAACACACCGGAAACGTAACACCCATGATACAATATGATATATGTTAGCAAATACATCACCGCCAATGAACAATTTCTCTTTTTGTGGTGTTATAAACAGCAACTTACATTGGTGTACGCTTTCGTTGCCTGAAGTTTAGCTTCATGACATTAATTATGGTTCTCAAGAAAAACTCTTTCTTTCCTTTCTCAATCTGAACATATTCATCATCATTTGGCTACAGAACTATCATGATGATGTGCAGCATTCAGTTATCATTGCATGTTAAATGGATGTTATTTGTTATGTTATCAAACTGCAGCTCAAGGAAACGTTGATAATACGTACAGTCCGTTTGAGTCAGAAACGGACCGATGAATTGCAAATTTCACATTGTACAAAATTGCCACATAAATATAAATAGTACACATGTTTATCATTTACTAATACCCAACAGCTTTCATATATTTGAACTATCCGGACTCCACCAAAAAAAGTTCTTTATGAAACTATCATTGAAATTTTGACACAGTTCACTATTTGATATGAGGGAGGAGTGCAGAGAAAGGGACAGCCAGGTATTAGAGAAGCACGTGCACAAGTGCCCACCAAGTTATTGATTCATTAGCCTGTGCTGTGCCGTCTCCATCCTTTCTGGCACACCTGGCTGTCCCTTTCTCTGCACTCCTCCCTCGTAACAAATAGTGAACTGTGTCAAAATTTTAATGATAGTTTCTTAAAGAACTTTTTTGGTGGAGTCCGGAAAATTTTCAAATATAAGAAAGCTGTTGGGTATTAGTAAATGATAAACATGTGTACTATTTATATTTATGTGGCAATTTGTACAATGATAAAATTTGCAATTCATCGGTCCGTTTCTGACTCAAACGGACTGTAGCAGTGTCCAAGCAGTTGCCGACCACTGTGACATCGTGAGACCACACACAGGCATGGACGTCATCATGAGTTGCAATTACATAAGGATAAAAAGCAAGCTCTCTTGAAAATGTGTTCGTTTTAATAACAATGGGTATATGATGATTCCCATTCTACTAGAACTGGCTGCTACTATATATTTCTTCAGTATATTGCTTCATTTGGAATTGAACTATACAGGTAAAACTACAATCTAGACATTCAGGAAGGTCATCTTTCAATCTAGACGTTCAGGAAGATCGCCTTCTCAAACATATCGCATTGTAGTACATTTTTTGTAAGTGCCAGGTCCATTATACAGCTATAGAACAGTCGATCGACCACAAGAAGATTTTACATCAATCCCCGAGTCAAGTTCCTGGTCGTGCATGCTGAAGGTATTGACTAAATGATAATAGAATGATAAACGTACTTCAGTGAACGTGATGTTAGCCTTTCATAACAACTGTAGAACGGTTTTGTTTGTTAATAAAAGCAATGTCCACATAGAATCTTGTGAAATTGCCTGGTGTTGTTTTTCTTAGTGAACGGAGATTTACATTTCTTATTTGTTGGTCAAACCGTCAAATCAAGTAGCTAGTTTTGTCCCATACACAGAACTAGATTACTACTATACACAAATTGGTTATGGAACATCAAACATGGAAGTTGATAATATTGCCTGTTCACAGTCTCTTGCCTGTCTACCTACCTACCTATCTACCTACCCTACCCATCCACCCACCCACCCACTTACTACCTACCTACCTACCTACCTACCTACCTACCTACCTACTCTGCAATACCTGTATTGAAGAGTAATGCAGAACTCCTACACCAGAGAAACAAAAGATGCATTAAAAGACGCGATGTGTCTTGGCATCAGAGGAATGCAGGCCAAGTGCTAATACGCTACCGCTGGAGAAACATCAGTCTCGATTATCTTCGCTAAAAGGGTGAAAGCTATAGATTGTGGTGTGCCCTTGGCCAAGCGGAACAAATATTTTACAATATCACATTACATCTATCCAATACTCGTGATGGCAGTTTTCTTTCTAGAGTGGGACAAGACCCTGTATGTATTCAGCATAACACGTTGATAGCGTTTGATTACATTATTGATTAGCATGACTTCATTGTACTTGTGTAATGTGTCACTGATGAAACAAACACGCTGATCGTGATGTTGCAACATCCTTTACACGCGGTAGTCGTCCATCACTGACACTGCAGATCAGCATCGGCAGCGCCGTGTGCAACATAAAACTTCGTCATATCGACAAATATGTGGTATGACGTTTCATAGGAACATTAAAACCCAAACCGGTCAACCAATTCCTGAACCATTACCTACATTGATAGATCCATGTTCTACTTCTCATGGCATTTGCCGTGTGTCTTTGGGAGTATTCGCATGACACTGGGCCATAGAAGATACCGTTAATAGCATCAACTTTCACGTGCCATTAGTTGTGTCCGGGGCTCTTCCTGTCTGTCCGGATTTTAAGGGCGGACATTATAAGAACTGTCAGAGCTTTTTCCAATCCAATTTGGCAAGATGGCGGAAATCGGATGTGGGAAGGTAGGTATTACGCAGGGGAGTGGTATCGGTTGGTAAGAGGGTTACATTTGACGTTTGAAGAGCTTACTGACTAAGAACTGATGACATCACGTGAACCAAAACATAGTTTAGAAAATTAGAAAAAATGATTTTGGGTTCATCTTACCGAAATGAATAATACAAAATCGAAATTTCGAAATTCAAGGAAAAATAGTTTTCGATTATTCTTTAGTTTTTGTTTGTTAAAAGGTTGGGTAAGAGAGCTTGGTTGTATATTCTACTTTCAGGGTTTCTTTCCGTGGGCTTGAAGCTAAATGATCATATTTCACCCATGTTATGAGAATAAATGCCAAGCGTCGACCAGACTGTCATTCTATAATTGCGATTCTGATGAAATAGAACCCAGATAAATCTGATAGCTATCCCGCAGTGGGATCACAAAAACAGTTATATGCATTTGGTTTTAGAATTCATTCTGCAGATCCACAGTCCAACATCGAACTAACATCATTTTTCAAAAACAACGTCAGAATGTTCTTATTTATTTCGAGGAATTGAAAAGGGACATCTGGGAATATGAAGCCATTTCTTTCGTTATGGTCCAAGTCATTCATGTCAGAGAGAAGGAACGTGCGGAAAAGCAAATACCTTTTAAGTCATTAATTTATATAAGCCGTTAACAGTGTGAAGGACATTGCACTCAGTTTAATGCAAGTTAAATATAACTTTCAAAACCTTCGAACAAAACTTTTGGATCGACCATTGCTAAGATATACTTGAACATTGAGTGTAAGAAAAAGAGTGTATCGCTTTATCCACCCAGTTACCCGAAGGTATCATGATATATGATTTCACATAACTGGGATTCGAACCCACAAGCACATTTAACTAGGTCCTTGCACACCTAAAAGCCACAACACTTTCATTCAGTCAGGAGCCTTAGACGACCGGGTGAACTTACCCCAGATATACCCACAGGGGCTTGCAACGCAAAAATGGCATCATGGTTGATATTGCTACAGACGGGGTGTTTCTGGACGAATTCAACAATGATCACTGTACGTACACCTATAAAACTACACTCGTGTTTCAAGCAAATAGATTTACCTCCAAAATAGGCATACATGAAGTTCACAAGAATCGAAGTCGTACAACTTTGTACAGCTTACTTAGCGATTTTCTTGTTTATTGCATCGTGTAAACAAACGATACGCACCTAAACGGGCTGAATCGATGGCACATGTCAGATCGCTAATCACCATTCTTTCAGACACACTTACACCTAACTGCCATAACGGGTTTACGCTCATGTATTGACCAGTAACAGGTAACAGTAACCTGCGTCATACTCGTTCACCATTGAGGACCTTGATCTTGACTTACCCAACACTGAAAAGAGCCAGGGCTCTGATTGGCTATAAATAAAATATGTCCCGTCAGCGCTGGCTCTTTTGAGTGCGGAGTAGGTCAAGGTCAAGGTCGTCAATGTTAACCTTGATGCCATATTTTGGCGCTACAAGCCCCTGTGCATATACCATCAAATCCTGGTCTCAAAGTTTAACCACAATCCTTTATACAAAACGGACGGACCTTTTCCACTGCATTCACAGAAAGTGTTTGAGACAAGAGAGGTAACAAATACAAATATATTTTTAATTTTATACATTCAAACTCCATTAATTGATCCACGGTGCACTTAATGGGGTGTCAGGGCCTGGGTTTCGGGCTCTCTTAGACAACCAAGATAGTCGTAAGTTAATGTTAATGTATACATAAGAACGACAATCCTTAATCCATGGTGCACTTAATGTGGTGTCCAGGTGAATAGTTAATCTGTTCAAAGGTTCAGGAGGATTTGTCAAAAATGAAGCACATTATAATGCCATCTGAGGATTACCGAGAAGATCAGAAATGCTTGCTTCCCTATTAAGATCTTATCTTAGGATAAATCATGTAGGTGTAATCATCAACATAGGCACGTCCTGAAGATGGTTCTTCTGGTAATACACTGTAGACGAACCCCAGCATTTGTAACACATGTTATATTTGGGATTACACTTTCTCAGAGACCGCCTCCGTGGTGTAGTGGTTAGAGCGTCCGCCCGGAGGGCGGAAGGTCGCGGGTTCGATCCCCGACCGCGCCATACCAAAAGACGTTAAAATATGGTACTTGTTGGTCCCTGCCTGACGCTCGGCATTAATGGGTACAACAAGGACTGGTCGGCTCGGAGTCAGTATAATGTGTCTGAGTGGGGTATTCATGCTTAACTGCGGCATGGTATCTCAGTGGGCTAGCACAATAAAACCAGCTTCACTCTGGGCTAGTACAAGCAGCCGCACATACACATACACACGCATGCA